CGTGAAAAGGTCCTTCGTAAGGCTGTTGTAGAGGTTTGCGTACCGAATCTACTCGTATGAAAACATGTGAACAGGTAGATAACTCTCGAGGGAGAGCGACCTGTCGATGTTGTATACGAGTCGACACCGGAGTCAGTGTTCGCATGAATGCAGACAGTCGTTGGACGTAGTCTGATTCGCCGAACTTAGTGCTGCTCCGTGGTGTGAAAAATTCCCCAGGCAGACGCAATGTCGTGCCGTAAACAAGTTCAGCGGCGGAACATTGAATATCTGCCTTTAAACTCGTTCTGATTCCCAGGAGGACGAGCGGCAGGGTTTCGTACCAATTGTTGTTTTCGTGTGCTCGAAGAGCACTTTTAAGTTGGCGATGAAACCGTTCAACTAAACCGTTTGATGCTGGATGGTAGGCGGTAGTGCGTATGCGTTCCGTACCAAGCAGCCGTGTTAGTGAGGAGAATAATGCGGACTCAAATTGTTGTCCTCGGTCAGTCGTGACAGTCGAGGGACAACCGTACAGAGCTATCCATCGTTCTACGAAGCGGTGAGCAACTGTCTCCGCCGTAATAGACGTGATGGGAATAGCTTCGGGCCATCTTGTGAAACGATCAATGCACGTGAGTATGTGATCATACCCGTGCGATGGTGGTAATGGTCCTACAATGTCTATGTGAACGTGATCGAAGCGAGCATCAGGCGTAGCGAAAGTGCCAATAGGGGCAGCTACGTGCCTGTGCACTTTTGATCGTTGACATTGTAAACATTGTTTTACCCACATACGGACATCTTTATTCATGGACGGCCAGACGTATCGTGCAGCGATGAGGCGTAAAGTGGCTGCGATACCAGGATGAGATAAACCATGAAGGGCGTCAAAGACGAGACGGCGATAAGCGGAAGGTACGATGGGTCGAGGGAGGCCCGTAGAAGTATCACATAGGATAGTACCTGAGCTAGTAGCTAGGGGTACTTCCCGACACCGAAGGGACGTAGACTGTTGTGCTTCCGTGCATGAAGTATCGTTTGCTTGGGCGGCGGCCATAGCAGGTAGATCGAGCACTGGCAAAGTAACTGCATTCAGTTGGATACGTGATAAAGCATCAGCAACACAGTTCGACTCGCCTTTGACGTGGCGAAGGTCTGTCGTGAACTGGGAGATATAGTCCAAATGTCTGCACTCTCGTGGTGAGTAGCGGTCAGACTTGGTATGCAGAGCATACGTTAAGGGCTTATGGTCGGTGAATAAGATGAAATTACGACCTTCTACAGCGTGCCGGAAATGTTTGATGGCGCAGTAGGCTGCTAGCAGTTCGCGACCAAAAGCGCTATATCTCGTCTCCATGGGAGTGAGGCGTCGTGAGAAAAATTCGAGGGGCTGCCAACTACCGGAGATATTCTGTTGCATAACGGCTCCCAAGGCGAAATCCGATGCATCAACCGCTATACTAAGCGTGGCTGATGGGTCAGGATGCACGAGAAGTGTGGCTTGAGCTAGGGCCGTTTTGATATCTGAAAATGCAGTACGTGCGGCGTCGTTCCATTCCAGTTTGCGTGGATTACCTCGAAGTAAATCAGTTAACGGTCGTAACTGTTCTGCCGCGTGCGAAATGAAGCGTCGGTAGAAGTTGACCAAACCGAGAAATGCCTTCAGTTCCTTAAGTGTGGACGGTACAGTGTACTCCATTATAGTACGTACTTTATCCTCACAAGGTAGAATACCCTCATGCTTAATAACATGACCTAAGAATTTTATTTCCTTCTTCCCGAGTTCACACTTGTCGGGGTTGACTATTATTCCATTATCCGAAAGGCGCTGGAATAGTAGCGTCAGGTGTTGATAATGTTCATCTACGTTTGATGATGCGATTAGCAGGTCATCAATATAGACGTGAACAAAATCTAGGTCTCGTACAATGCTATCGATAAACCTTTGGAAAGTTTGAGCAGCATTCCGTAATCCAAATGGCATTCGTAGGAACTCAAATAAACCGAAAGGAGTCGTGATGGCAGTTTTCTCTATATCTTCAAGAGCGACTGGGATCTGATGATATGCTCGTACCAGATCGATCTTGGAAAAAATTGTCGTGCCCTTGAGTGATGCCGTGATGTCATGTATGTGGGGGATGGGATAGCTATCGAAACGTGTAGCTGTGTTTAACGCTCGGTAGTCTCCGCATGGTCTCCAACTAACCCCATCCTTTTTTCGAACCATATGGAGAGGTGAGGCCCAAGGACTGTGAGAAGGACGAATAATACCAGTAGCTAGTAAATTGTCGAACTCACGTTTAGCGAAAGCTAATTTGTCCGGTGCCAGTCGGCGAGGTCTTGCCGTGACTGGTGGTCCGCGGGTGACTATGTGGTGTACCACACGATTGGTCACCGATCGAGTCTCCTCGAAAGGTTTAGTTAATTTGGGGAATTTCTGAAATAAAACGTGGAATAAATCGTCACGCGAATGAAATACACCTGTGATTCGGTACGCGTTTGTGTGGGCTTTAGAGCCCATAAAGTTGCTGTTCGACGAAATATCAATTAGCTGCAGCCTACGTGAATCGACTAGCAATTCATAGTGCTGTAGGAAATCGATACCGAGTATAGCTGTGGGAACATCGGCAATGATGAACGTCCACAGATACTGTCGTCGGTTGCTCAGGTTGACCGTAAGTTGTCGTGTACCATAGGTGGGAATGACTGAGCCATTCGCAGCGCGTAGTCGAAGCATAGTGGCTTGAGACTTACTGTTACCGATAGGTACGACAGAAACTTGGGCACCCGTATCCACAAGGTACCTAGCGTTGGTGCGATAATCGTGCACATAAAATAAACGGCCAACCTGAGGTGAAGTGCCGGCGAGTACGGCCGCATTTACTCGCCGGCTGAGAAGTTTCCCGCCTTGTATGAGCAGGGAGCTCGACAATGACGGGCACCGGCTCCGAAAGCACGGTGGAACCAGCACCAACCTGGACTCGCTTCCGAAACCGCCTTCTGGCGTGGCTTGGAAGATGCCCGCTTGGGGCGAGTCGTTACGGCTTTTCGAGATTGTGACCTGGGTCGGGGGACGTAGGGGGCTGGCACATTTGCGCGGTCTCGGAAACTGAGACGAGTATGGATACATCTGTCCCTGTCCCCATGAGCCGGAGGTCGTCTAGCATCGAGATCAACGTTAGAACGGGAAAAACTAGCAACAAAATGGTCGCCTTTGGTGTTAACTCGTGCCAGAATCTTATCTGCTATGAGGGCCACCTTGTTGAGCGGGGTGTCCTCGAGCAGAGCCGTAAGGGTTGGCTGGATACTGACTGGTAAGGCTTCGAACCACAACTCTTTGACTATCTCAGAGTCAGCTGTCATGTTTCCTGCAAGGGATTGCAGGCGCGTGAGGTGGTGGCTCGGCTTAGCATCACCCATAGGGTGACGTGCTAAAAGTGTCCTCAATCGTTCCTCTCTTGATGGGAGGAAATGTCGAAGGATGGCATCCTTAAGACGGTCATAAACGTTTGGAACGTTGGGATTGAGGACAACCTCACGGACAGAGGTTAGGTGATCCCCGGGCAAAGATTCCAAAGCGTAGGCGTATTTCTGCCTTTGATTGGTTATGCGGCGGATCTCAAATTGAGATTCCAGTGCCGCAAACCAGACTTCTGGATCATGGGGGATGAAAGGAACCGGTCGGAAACTGATAACCTGTATCTCGGAGTCTATCATATTTATGTTATTCTTTTCGTTATCTACCATATTAAGTTGCCAAAATATTATATATTGAAAAAAAAAATCAATACGAATATATGCAACAGATGTGGATAGATAAATAGACTCACCAGATTGATCTGGTTTGGAGAATTGGCCAAGTTTGACTTGTGCTCGATGGATTGGGTTACCAGCTGTATTGCGTGTTCCAATAACGGCTCACCAGTTGTAGTGGATGTCGAGTCGTGGACGGACTATGATCACCACTACTAATCGATTACGCGTACAAATATGACTTGGTTCCCTTGATAGCCCGTAAACAGAAGGCTTTACTAGTCCAGATAAAGTATATTTATTGGCGATCTCGTGGTATCGAAATAATACCGAGACGTGCCAAAGAGTACAAGCGGACAAGCAGTGCGTGAGCAAGCTCGAACCAAACCAGGCGGTATATGGAACAAGAAGTGAAACGGATACAGTTAAACAAATACAGTAAAACAATCTCTGGTACAATTGGTTACAATAATAATAATTGTTTCTATTATTCCAATCGTGTTCTTATCGAGACTGGCCGGTCACTACAACTTAATGGCATGGCTTTCATCGGTTGTATCGGAGTACAAATTTTTGCTTCATGTTGCGAAATTGGGTGTCTGGTACCTGCCATGGCAGCATCTTCATTATCAGTATCCATGCTGCCGGCACGGCCTACTTCGACCTTTTTAGCTAACGCTAGAAGGCTGATGGCTTCCTGAATGAGTAATGTCTTACTTGAGCAACAAAACATACAGAGCCAATGAGAATTTGGTTTCGAGCACCTTTTATAGGCGGCAGGGCTTAAGCGGGTGCACATTTTATGAAACCACTTCTTACAATCGTCACATTGCATCCCTTCTTCCACGGGGAATAAGCAATATGGCTGTCCACACTTGTGTACAGAGCCGACCATCTTAAAATAAGGCAAAATGATAGGCAAGGTAGATATGTAAGATAAATCACAACCTTATCAAATAAACAAGCCTCAGTCGACCAAGAATGCTTTGATGCAGTAAATACACAAAAGCAGGATCAAAACACACAAATACAATGTCACGTTAACTGAAATAAATTCAATTAAAGTGTAAACGGTAGTTTTGATACGTAATTTACGATCAAAACAGTGAATTAAACTCAACGTGAAACAATACCACTGTCCTTTTAAAGCTACTCGCCAATTCAAAAGCATTGTACACCTGTCAGTTAATTTAGTTTCCTAGATTGTCCTTCAACCTCCCGCGTATTTCGATACACATCTCTTAGTAATAATTTCCTCTTACGTAATGGAACGCCTCCTACGACTTGGTGCTGATGGACTAGCCGCCTTAGGGCAGTCAAATGCTCAGCCAACAGATGGTCCTGTACCAGATACTGCTGAACAGGTGTATATTAGTAGTCTTGCACTACTAAAAATGCTAAAACATGGACGAGCTGGAGTCCCAATGGAGGTTATGGGATTAATGTTAGGCGAATTTGTTGATGACTATACTGTGACGGTTGTGGATGTGTTTGCTATGCCCCAGTCCGGCACAGGTGTGAGCGTCGAAGCAGTAGATCCTGTATTTCAGGCTAAAATGTTGGATATGCTTAGACAAACTGGACGGTATTTGCACTTTTAACATATTTCCACTTTTTAAGTCCAGAAATGGTTGTCGGATGGTATCACTCACATCCTGGATTCGGTTGCTGGTTATCTGGTGTAGATATGAATACACAACAAAGTTTTGAAGCTCTATCGGATCGTGCGGTAGCTGTAGTTGTTGATCCAATACAGAGTGTGAAAGGCAAAGTAGTGATTTTTCGTAACTACAAATCATTCGCAGGTTGTCATCGATGCTTTTCGTCTGATCAACCCAAATCTTGTAATTGCTAATCAAGAACCCAGACAGACAACATCTAATGTTGGTCATCTTAGCAAACCAACAATCCAAGCGCTTATTCACGGTCTTAACAGACATTATTACTCTTTACCTATTAATTACCGTAAGAATAAGTGGGAAATTAAGGTAAGCTTTATATATATATATATCTCACTGAAATAAGATGTTGATGAATCTGAACAAGCGTACGTGGCGAGATGGACTAACCTTGGAAGATTATAATACTCACTGTTCAGCTAATCACAAAACTCTTCAAACTATGCTTGATCTAGTCAAGTCATACCATAAAGTTCGTTTATTTGTGTGTTATGTATTTTGTTTAGTCTCTTGAAGATGAAGAAAAGATGACTCCAGAACAATTAGCCATCAAAAATGTTGGAAAAATGGTATGTTAATAACGGTATTACTTAACCTTCCACTCATTAGGATCCAAAACGACATCTTGGAGAGCACGTAGATGAGTTAATGACATCCAATATCACTCAATCCTTAGGAGCAATGTTGCATTCAGTTGTTTTTACGTAAACAATTATCAAATAAATTCTTTTTATAAAACATTGAGTTCTATCTAATTGTTACTGTGAAGTGTTTACTGAAGTATTTTTACTGTCTTTAGGAAACATGAGTTCTGATGCATTAACCGAAGAAGAGCGTTCACTTATTGAAGCTAAACGAAGAAAAGCGCTTGAGTCCCGTAACCGAAATACTGCGGGCGGACTTGTTAGTTCAGTGCCCATAGTTCAGAAACAGAATGTGGTTGCTAAGCAACCCTTATGCTATGAAGGTGGTTATGATAGTACGCGTACTGAAAAGGTAGGAGATTTCGTACATATGGCTAGAAAATGGGTGGAATCTGGGTAAGTTATTCAGGTTTTATCACATCTTTCTATCTTAATAGGGTGCTAATGTATAAGTTTGGCGTTATTAAGTAGCGGTTTCGGTGTACTAATGTTTTAACTATACAGTCTTTCAGTTCTTGTTCAAATGCAGTCACTCAATTTTAGACATTGTAGGATTTCGCAGTGACTAACTTAACCTTTGAGATTCTGATAGGATTTCCGGTTAGGCGGCATTATGTCAGTTAAACGTCCAAATATGCCCTGCTGTTGTTATGGTATTCAAACACGTCGTCGGGATCTTGACAGCTACTTGAGAGTGATCGATAAAATTCGTTCATTTTTAAGGGGAGATTGGTTTGTAAGTTTATCCATATTCTGGGAATGAACTAAGGTTGACATGTTTATGTAGCATACCAAATCTCATTTACGGCTCTTGTCACGTTTATCTTTCCCTATCACTTGTTTTCCTTGTACTGTGTGTTTGATTCATGCCCAAAGTCGGCTGGACTTGATCACGTTGACAGATTATTGTTTCTCTTTCTCATGATAAAACCCATTTCATTGTTGAGAAGACTTCCAGGTTGCTCGCTTTTCAAGGTGTAAGATTTCGATTGTAAGTCACATGGAGACTTTATATCTTCAATTATTATTTTTACGAGTTATTTTTGTTTTCACTTAGTGTAGGAGCCCAAGGTTGTAAAGATATCCCTGATATAGCAAATTAGTTGTGGCTTTTGTATTTCGAAGTCAGTTCAAGGTCTTTATTAAGGTAGAGGCCACTATTTAATAATCCATGTCAACCCCAATATTGATCAAGACTGTTTTCTCATATGCGTTAAAAGCATGTATACTTTTATGGAATAATTTGTATTAGTGTTTTTAGTCGGTAAATATCTTAAATAAACCCATGAAATAAGTCGATTTATATTATCCTGTTATAATTGCCGTCCTTTTGACATTGCTTGCCAGCTAAATAAAGGATATGGGGGAGGGGAGTGAACTTTGATCTGACCTTAATCTGGATTAAGCCATGTAACTAGGTGCAGACTACTTGGTTGAGGTCTGCGAGATTATCGTAACCATTGGTTAGAGACTTTGAATGGCATGCCTCAGAGTTGTTCACGATGACGCAAGTGCGTCTACTCTATGTCTCTTAGATTCTAAGCTTCTCAATTCCTGATAATTCTTATTCCACGAAGTTGAGTTAATGAATCGTACCTTCGATGCCTAATCTTTTCCAGTACCAGTAATATTTATTATTTATTTAAAAATATAAACATGTGTGCCGCACAAATGATTCAATTTGTATGAGGGCTGGAATACTGTTACCACCTCTAATACTCTGGGATTCTGTCTAACAGTTTGGCCTTACTGTGCTAACGGGTATGGCATCTTGGACCGATGTGTACACGTACCGGGTTCTACGTTGAGTTTGACTGACTGGGTGAGTATATTGTGGGTCTACATGGTAAGCAACCGATACCCAAAACAATTTGAAGTAACCGGAGTTTGTCACATTATTTATGTGACAGTATTGGATAAGGATTGTCACGACTATATTCCGTGAAAGTCACTGATTGCTTTTACCTCATATTAATTATCGACAAACTTAAATTTTCTGTCTTTTTAGGTTCTTGCAAATGTAAACGTAACTTTTAAGTCTCTAAATAACTGATATGCTAGGGATTGCAAAGCTTTGTTTCTCTTGTTATTTAGAGAGACTAGGCTTTGTCCACGAACTTCAGTAACCAAAAATAAGAGAGGGACAGGACTACTTTTTCAGTTTCCTTACTTTTCATCAAGGTGTCGGTGTGGAAAGCCCAAGGTTTAACCCTTAGAAGCATCGTCCTTCCCTAGTCACTTCGTCGACTTAGTGCTAAAGTTTTTCTTAGGTGACTGGGGTATTTCAGCTGATAATTTGCTTATGAGATATTCCTTGTACCCTGACCAATTAGATTTTAGAAAACAGTTACCCACAAGTTGAGCGTGGCTATAACTATATATAGGTAAGCTAAAGCTATTACTAACACATAAAGTATCCAACCACGAAAGTGACGAGCTGCTTATTAGATAATCAATTAACTTTACAAAGCAGTCAGTCAAGTTGATGAATTCACCTAGCACTCTATCCAGCTCCTCTTCTTCATCTTTGAAACTTACAATCTTAAAGAATAACCTTCAATACTGTGATATTTGTATGGATTACATTATACTTTACTGACTTTATATCGCCTGTTATAATTAAAAATTAAGACTAAAGGACAAATAACATATTTCACTGGATTCGACTGTTTATTTAAAATTTATTTTAGCTGAAGGAATTGCCGAAGTTTCTTTTCTACCATGTATAAGATCGTTTGAGTGACTAGGAGTTATCAAATTTTTTTGCGAATCCCTCTCAAAAATTGGTTGTTTCGCAACCCGATGACCATGTATTTGTTCGTTAACTGGTCCAAATTACATGTATATAGAAGGTTCAAATGCCACTTAGATACTGAAACTAGTGGATGTAATCAGCTTTAACCTGCAATTAGTCACATAGTCAAGATATCAAAACGCTTGGCAATCACCCCCATTGTTTGCCAGTTATTCGTGTGAAACATAATTCATTCTAGAAGATGCATTATCATAAATTATACAGTTTAAAGACTGGGAGTTAAGAACCTGGGCAAATAAATAAATTATAACCAGAGATGAATGCCGTCTAGCAGTGGAGTCTAGGATGTGCGTTTCGTGTAATCCACACGATGCACATCATGCTAATAAGAGGTTGATCAGTTCCAGTCCTAAACGTCAGTGGAGAGGTTCAAACAACCAATACAAAAATGGATCAAAGAAATAAATCCTTTGATATGAACGTTAACAACAACTTCTTCAAGCAAATTCCTTGATGTATATCTTGAATAATTGTTATTACGTGTTTAACTTGTTTATCAGGCGCATATTCATTCGCTTGGCTTTGAGCCATCCTCGAATACTTAAACCATTAAGCTGCCTCTTGAGCTGTAGGAATGCATTGCTTCTGTCATTCAGATTAAATATTTGCCAGTTAACATAATTAGACTATGAACTTACTAATTACAAAATAAATATATTGGTTAAACATCGGTGAATTTTGAATTTCTTTGTATCTAACTAGTTAATAATTAAGTATTTTTACACAATCTATCAAAGTAAACCAACAACTGTGAAGCCGACTGGAAATTTAGTCAAGCAACAAACTTCACAACCCAAACAGAATTTTATACCTAAATCCAGTACAAGTTCTTTTCATTCGAGAACCCCTCAGTCTACTCCTAATGATGCATTCAGACCGAAGACCAGCTTAGTTAATGTGCTGTGCACATTGTGCTCTCCCAATAGGTTTGAAGTGCACGCCAGATATCACGTTGGATTGACACAGCTATTTAAGTCTATGGATTCTAAACAGTATGGTAAGTTGTTATCCTTTAGATCATATTGTATTGTTCTGTCGTGCTAGTAGCATTAACACAAGATATGATGTAATGTTGGTAACGTGTTAAGTCAACTGTGTTTTCGTATTTATGGGAAATGGTTTCAGATTCGTATCTGATTGGATTTATGTAAATCAGAATTCAGTCGTATGTGGTCAGGTAACTCCCAGTGAGGTTGAAACATAATTTGAGTTTAACTGGCTCGTATTCTTGAACAATATTATTACTTGTTTACAAGCCTTATGAAGCTATCAAAACTAGTAGCCTACGTATCAGAAAAGATTTTATGCTCTAATAGCATTCTATAACGTGTTAAACGTGGATAGTAGACTTGGTTGATGTTAAGCTTTTCTAACTACCTAGCTCAACTCGATGAACTAGTTTTAACATGGTAGTAGCATTTAGATAGTTGGACCGATCAATAAAGGATTTATATCACTTGCTGATCAGATTTACCAAGGTAATAATCAGTGAGTTCATAAGCGGATTGATTTAAAATAGATTTTAGCGGTGTAAGTAGACTGCTATGCTGGGAGTATGTAGTCCATATATATTAGCTACGATAAGTTAGCATCGGCAAATTGGTTTTTCTATATCCATGCCAATCTGTTACTAACGAAATAAATATTGGAAGACTTCCAAAGTAGGTAAATTTGTCGACTCATTCGGCTATTTTACTCCATGTAATTACATTAGATGTATGTAACCTGGTCCTGGATGCACATTTCGCCTGTAATATTTTGAAATGTCGCCGCTTGAATACCTACAGTGCTGTTATAAGGGACTAAGGTCCACTCATCGGACAGGCAGGTTAGCTTAATTATACGGTGAAACAGTAATAATTACTGTAAGTGAACATGTGTCTTGTTAGCGGGAAATACATAGGGTTAAGGCATGCTCCGTGCAGAACTGTGTTGGGGCGCGCTAATTGGCTATTTCCTAACCAATCAGTGCTAGCGGATACTTGGAGAAGACTCTAGAATCTTTTTATGTTAAAATTGTAAATATACCAATGTTTTCCTTATTGTGATTCCTACCTCCATTCGACCTTGTTATTTGGAACGTAATTACGTTCCTGTTCAGCCGTGTTCTGATTCGGGGACTTGTCAAGTGAAGTAGTGTCCAAGATTACTAAGCAATGAGGGTATCTGAGCCGTAATAAGAAAAATCATCAGATGTCTTAAGTGCTGATTTTTTCAATCTAATTCTTAGGTTCTTTCTAAAAGCTTCTTACACTAAATTAATCAAATTGCACATGTAGGTCCACCTACAATATAGGAAGTTCTTATTTTCCTAATGTTTGTGGTTATATCCTTATTGTTTAATTAGCTATTAAAGAGAAAGCTCCTCTACATTCAGTCTTGAACTATTTATTCCAGAAGATAGTTCGAGATTTAGAGGAAGATAAAGAATAAATACACGTTCGCCAATGAGATCGGTTTTAAACTATTTCATGAGTGGAAACTTATTCTGGAACCACTTTTAGGTAATCTACGTCTTCTGTTATGACTCCAGTTGACGACTGATTCTGTGGTTAATAGCATGCGTCCAAGGTTTCATAAAATGTATTATATGCTATAGAAACTCCTGGATCTGTCCGTAGCTTATTCTTGTAGCCACAAATTGAAGATTGGAGATAATTGTGAATGCGAGTAATGATATTGTAATATTATTTACAAATAAAGTGCGTAGTAATGCACAAAGCAATAATCGTTTCATACAAATTCCACGATCCAACAGTCAGCAAGCTTACATAATCCAGCACAACAAACGAATCAATATCTATGGCTGTAATGTCAAACAAAATAGATTCATATCTCTGACGAATAATAGTTTTCATGATTCAGTATATTGAATTCATTTAATGACTGCCACAAGTTGCAAATGTACGTTTCTAGGTATTTATTTGGAAACTATATCTAAACATTTAATATCAAATAAAATATTCCCTTATTAATACCTCGAACTAGGATATTGCCTCGATTATTACCTGATTACTATTCCATATTAAATTTACACACTAATGAAATTTAATTCTGAAAATTAAAATGCTATCTTATCATAATTCTCCTGTCAACTTATTTTTATGTGTGTATGTGTATAGATTCGCAAACAAGGAGATGGTCATTTGATTTATCAGAGTATAATGAATTCGGTAAAAAATGTGAAATTTTCTTTATAGATATATCTTTTATACAGTGAAAAAGGTCAAGAATATTGATGAATTACACTTGGAAGAACTTCCATATGCTGTTATGAAAGTAGGTATATATATATCGTTCAATGTTAGTACTTTTTATAAGTACAAAGCTAACCAGTAAGATGATTTTATTTTGTGTATCTCTGGCACATTGGTTACAGAGTTAGACTTTCAACTAGTAAGTCACAGACTCAAACCCCGATGGGCCAACTTCGGTTTTGGCAACCAAGTAGTATCACTGCCTTATACGCCTTGAAGTCAAGCACTCAAATATGTGTCTGGTACATGAATTATTAAAATACGCTCCGATTTGGGTAGTAAACAATAGTAGAATCTAGAATTCCTGTTCTATCTTAGTATTGATGTTCACACTGAAACTCAAAGCTGATATTTATGGTTTCAAGCATCAAAGCGTTACTCACTTGGTTATAGAATCATGGTTTCCATCAATTTTTTTCAGTAGACATGATGATTGTCAATAATTTCAGGAGTATTCATTTCTCGTTTGTTGACACTCAGAATTGAACGTGACGAGTCTCTTTTAGCATATTAGCTCACTGAATGGATATCTCATTATTAGCAGCTTCTATAACTTAATTATGTACTCTGTCATGATTAGCTTTTGTTTGAGACTCATTGTGTGCTTTAACACTGAAATACTAACACATCAGTCCTGAATAGGACGAAACCACTCATCACTGATTCCACTGCTAGCTACTATCCAAAATATAATTAACTTATAGATTCTAGCGTTATCCATTGAAAGAAGCACAGTTAAGATTGATCATTTAAATTCTAACTATCAGTGATGAAAAAAAGAAATACAGACTCTATGCAATCAATGATTTAGATGCTTCATTTAAGTTTAAAGTTGGCGTTCAATATTATTTAAATTTCCAACTATTATCTCAAAATTTCATTGTTGTATTTGCTTTTTGCATAATTCCTTTCTTGTGTAGATATTTCGTAAACGAATTTCAATGAAACCTGGTGCAGATGATTTGAAAGATCATGACAACAATGATGAGATTGATCATAGTACACTGAAGGATAGAATACCGGATGATTTATTGGCAACATTATTTCCATTTCAAAAAGACGGTGTATGGTAATGACCACTACCTTTATCTCTATAGTTTACCTTTTTAATCTTGTATATTCTAATTGTTAAATGTTATTTACTTATGACATAAGCTACAGATAATTTAATAAATCTAAGCAACACTGATATAATAAACTGTAGCTAATAAATATAAGTGATAAGATTTGGGTGCTTGGGGTCCGTAAAACCAAGTGCATCCAGCGGTTACAGAACTCATTCTCAAAATCGTCATCGCTTAAATATAGCTCTCTGTATTTTCGTCGTTTTAAAAAATCTTTTCTTATGAAATTTGTGATCGTTTGAAAATAATAGTTCGATGTTTGGTCGTTCAAGAACAAAGAGAAAGTCATAAACATTGGTCTCATAGCTGTTGGTACTCATTTGTGAGATGTATCTGCAATTTTTAGTGAACTGTTGTTTGCCTTGTGGTTCAAATCGTGTACTCATTGTTTCGACCACGGACAGTTTAATGGATTTTTTCTTGTCCATTACTGTTTGACTACTTCACTTCATTCTACTTTACAGAAATAATAACAACAGTGGATTACACCATACAAAAGGAGGCAGAATAGAAATATGCAGGAATAAAAACTTATAAGCTTTTATTGGATTCACACGGGAACCTTTTAATATCTTTATGATCCATCCGTCAGCAATGATTAATTGCAAATAAACCAACCAGCGCATTTTAATTCGGTCTTGGACTGAATATGGAATTATTAAGATTCTGTCTTATTCAATATAATTCTGTCGAACTATCCCAGTTGTACTCGACGTCGATCAAAACCAATACATTTGTACTCTAGTCGATGATTTAGTAAAAACCAATGTCAAGATTGTATATATGGCTTTTCAAATGGAAACTAACTAACGAGAAACTTACGGTCCAGGATTGTGTGCTAATTGTCTTCAAACATAGCATCACGACCATGGCCTCTAGCCTGACGGAGTGGCCTGGCTTGCCTGATATGATAACTCAGTCTAAGTTAGTTGGAACATTCCCTTGGGTTCTACAGTACCATGCAGGTTGGTTGGTGGGCGGTAAGATTAAAAGCAGCAAAATTATAATCCATAGTGAAGTGTTATTGTCAGTTGTTCGGGGGTATGGCTTCACTATGGTGTTTCAAACAACCAGCATCTGCAGTGATGCTGTCTTCCTACTGAGGTATGAGGAAGTAGAATAGGTCGACCCTAAAAATAGTAAACCTCATCTTGATCTGAAGTTTTCCATCTTCGGTGGTAAGGTTTAAAAAGTACAGATCTGATACACTTAAAACTACTCACAAGAAAGGTCATGTATGATTAGATCTGAGCCGTTTGACCCTTCGGATCTATAGGCTTACTCCTAAGTGATCAGGATCACCCTTAACCCCAAGAAACATCCTTCTGCGATGTGAGCAACTAAATAGTGATAACCGCTCATATACCTCTACTAACATTGGACTGGTCAAATTCAGTGTGGGATCACCTAGACTAGTGGTCGTATTACAACTGAATGAATAGAACTCAGAAGGGGTTTTGTGGAGATTTAGTATTTTCCTAGTTGAAAGCGTGAGTCAATTGAAGCTAGACCACCAAGGAAAACCTGGAAGCACTAGACTCAATTAACAGTTGAAGTTAGGCACTATAAAATAGGCTATTATTGAGTGATCAATCCATGTAGAAATATTCAATTCACATGAGCTCACTATAATTGTTGAAGATATCTAACCTAATCCTTTCCATAACCGCATAGATTTCACTTATTCTAAAATATAAGAACGATCTGCAATTTATCATCTCTCTCTTTCGCAGTAAGAGTTTTCCCTCTCGATAGATTCATTTCAAATTTTCTTATCAAATGAACTGTAATTTTATTCATTCAAGTTTGGCTTTGAAACGATCCGGTCGTGTTCTACTAGCAGATGATATGGGTTTGGGCAAAACTATTCAGTCGTTAGCTATTGCATCAGCTTATTATTCTGAATGGCCATTATTAATTATTACACCATCATCTGTTAGATTTTCATGGAGAGATCAAATTATTCGTTGGCTTGGCAAACCACTTAATTTAAATTTAACACATATAACAGTTGTTAATTCGGGTAAAGATATTATGGATGATTGGGATTCGTTTAATTCATCACCAATCACTATTATTAGTTATGATTTAATGAGTCGTTATGGCAAAGAATTATTGAAACGGCGGTATGGCGTTGTTATTGCAGTGAGTATTGATCTATTATTTTTATGTATATAAGCAATCTGTCTAATTTATCCCAATTGAAGTATTTGTTAAATGATATGATTTGAATAGTAAGGGGGTGTTTCTGAGATTTATATGGTCTAAAATATTATTATTTATGCGTTTCTAATATTTCATTACACAATTTCCTTGTTAGGATTCGATTAATGAGTTCAAAGTTCATCTAGTTTTAGTGATTTCACTCAGTCAGGGAAACCTAACGTAGAACCTCGGGGACATTAGTACATCAATTTAAGTTACTGTACCCCATTAGCACAGCGAAATGAAACTGTTAGAGAAAATCCCAGAGTCTTACAGGTGGTAACACTTTTAATGGTAATAGAACGAGGCGGGGTTACATTGGACTTCATCCACCCATATATTTTTGCTTCCGAGTCTGCCAGTACGGCTGAGGGCCGGGACAGTTCGATTTCCCTTTCGAAAAGCTCTCATATAGCCAGGCGTATATAGCCACTGTCAGATAAGTCCTACTTACTGCCTTTTCGTTGTCGGAGTGTTGTTCACAGAAGTGAGAGGACGAAAAGCGAATGCCAAGTACTTAAACTGGGATAGTGAATGTGGGGAATTCACCTAAGGGAATTAGAAAATCAGAAGGGGTTTTGTAGAGGTTTCAGCATTTTCATAGTTGGAATCATCAGTAAATTGAAGCTAGACCACCATGGAAAACCTGAAGGCACTGAACGGCTGAGGAGTCCCACAATAGCACGAAACGGCCGTCCAGTGCTTCCAGGTTTTCCATGATGGTCTAGCTTCAATTGACTCTTGATTTCAACTATAGAATTAGAAAACCCTGATTCTAAACCAATGGTGAGAATGGACTCCAAGATCCTGATGGAATAAATAGGATATAAATCCATTCTTAGTCACGCATTAATATGGAATCGCATCTCCCAATGTTGCTCCACTGCTGCACCCAGCGATCGATCAACGTAAGTGTACCAATCGTACAGGTGATCAGTCGCAAGCCGAGTACTCCAGTGGCGATGTGTATGAAGCTGGGTTATGCCGGTTCCAATCCTTTAGTTCCCTGAAGATTGCAGTTGTAAACTTTGCGGACGAGTGTCAACTGTCACGAATTCTAGGTTGAGCAGAATTTCCTGTCACTTCAGCCATTGTAACTAAATTTTTTTGTTCTTTCAATGTCTATATTTGTCCTACGTAGATAATATTTTAATTGTTGCACATATTTAACGATTGGCTGAAGATGACCTGGCGGTAATCAGTTATAAATTTTCAACTTTATTATTATTATTATTATTAGCTTTATTCAATATTATATTTTTGGTATAATATAGAATTCTAAGCACAAATTATTTCAACAAGTTTCCGTTCCTTATTTTTATCGATCGTGACGATAAATACTGAGTGATCGCCAATTAGATGTTAGTAGTTCAGGAATTGACATCTAAATAATGTACATTCTGTTCATTGTATGTTGCCAGCAACCTGTCTCTGATTGTGCTCTTCCCTAACTTGTACAACGAAAGGTCGTGAACCTGAATAGGTTGTGCAGTTAATTGACGTAATGATCCGTTGAAACAGAATAGATAATTTGCTGAAATATGTGGATGGCAGGAACAGGTAGCCCAGATATTCAAGCAACCTGTCCTATTACTATGGGAAATTTTGCTTATGAGAAATTCAGCCTTAATAATTAATACGTTTGTATTTATTTGACTTTGTTTGTAATTTTATTTGACGCAAGTTGCATTCTATCCACAGTTCTCCAATTCGTTCTTTACCTACTTTGTATTTATGATGTTTTGTAGGATGAATCTCATTTCATAAAAAATATTAAAGCTGCTAGGACTAAGGCTGCGACTCCAATTCTTAAGGTAAGTTATTATGTAGTGAATGTAATATTGTATGTGTTGTTTGTTTATTGATTTATTTATATTTGCTTTGAATACTTAATTATTGACACATTGATAGTGATAGTCAAATTAGTTAGTAAGGCAAATCTGTCCTTAACGTAATAGGTTACCAAGGTAGATGTACCTGTTACTAGTGACTAGTTAGCTAATCTTAACTTATTTGTAATTTTTATGATAATACAGTTTACTTGTTATTAAAATTGTATTGTTGTAGTTTTTACTTTGGGATTATGGAAGTGAAATATCCATTAATCACTCAAAGAGTTTAGGATAAAAATGTTTTTTATCTTAAGTCGTTGTGCCAGATCAGCATATTGAGGTAAAATTAACGTGCTAATTAACAAAATAGATTTAAATAGTAGTGTGAAAGAATATCGTTAGATGAGAAATGGATAGATTTAAGGAATGAATTATACAAAATACTATTGAAGCTCAAAGTTGAAGGTGTAGAGTGACGGATTCTAGAGTAGAGTACTCCAGTCTCATTCTCTTGTGTGAATTTTAATGTCTCTTGGAAATTACTTTCGATTTGTTTAATAATTGATAGTTGTGGGGACAGACGATTAGCCGGGAATATGTGTTGTTCACCAATATTCAAAGAATATTTACACTATTGAGGAAATTAATTATTCATCTGAGATACGAAACGTTTTGATAAGCTGGATGATATATAACGGATGATTTTGAAATACATTTCCTCTCTTTCAGGTATACTACAGTAATACGTTAATACGATAATCAGATTTGTCACGCTATATTAGATCCAGGATTCACGACCCGGAGTAGAAAACCAGAGTATAGACTAGATAATACTTTATTTCACACGATTGCAAGCAGTCACTCTTAGTGACACTCTAAACGAGACACATTGTTGAAGTCAATCATGCACCTCGTCTGTCTCATTCTGCATGTCCTTGTCTGAGTTAGAAGAACAAACGTTTTTATACCAATGTTTCGTGTACATGTTTATTCGGTTATGCCAATTATAACTTCCCCATCACTTTTCCAGTCTTCTCATTTGTATATGCATCGAATATCATATATTGTAAAACTCATGCTGTTTCTCAGTGGATGTTACCACTCATATGATTAGTAATATTTAATCATTCACTAAATGCCACCGATAAAACCCAGTGTGTCTGTAATAATGTATACCGTTTATTATATTTTTCGAGTTGCTTCCAAAAAAACCTTTGGTCTAAAATTCTTATTTTATCACATTCGAATATGTTTTCCTTCATAAAATACTCACACTTGTGTCTTCTCTTGTAATAAAATGATATTTGTTAAACATTTATATTGACTAGTGACACTGATTACATGAAATTTCACTAAAGTGAACAAATTTGTTTTTGTTTTTCATATAGTTAAGATCATAAGTCAATTGAAGCTAGACCACCATGGAAAATCGAATCCCGCGAGGCGGGATCGTGGATGCGCACTGCTGAAGAGTCCCACAATAGGACGAAATGGCCGTCCAGTGCTTCCAGGTTTTCCATGATGGTCTAGCTTCAATTGACTCATGATCTTAGCTATATAAAATTACTAAAATCTCCACAGAACCCTCTTGTGATAAATTTGTTTTTGTATTTTCAAAATGGATGTATCCAGTGTTTCGTTAATGGTATTTTGGAGTTTCAGTTAACCGACTCAAGCTGATAAAATAAGATTTTATATTGTTATTGTTCAGACGCGTAGTCGGATTTTCTTTTCGTTACCTTAGAGTTTTCTGTATGGATATCTTTTCATAAACTCATGCAGGCATTTGTTGACGATGAACGGAAAGTTATGAAACCATAGGGTTTTATGATTCTAGAATTTTCATCAGTTCTGTATTTGTCCATCTCTATGAGTTGGGTGTATCTTTACACTTCTATAGCACAGATTTGTTTAAATTCTATGTATCAAAATATCCATCTGCGAATTTCAAGAACTGTAATATTTTTATTTGTTTATAATTTACTAATTAGTGGGCTAAAAGAGTTTTACTCTTATCTGGAACACCTGCCATGTCAAGACCGGCTGAGTTATTTCCTCAGATATCTGCAATTTCTCCAAATCTTTTCCAAGGTGGATTTCATGAATTTGGGCTACGATATTGTTCAGCCAAAGAATGTCCTTGGGGATGGGATTATTCAGGTTGTTCCAATATGACCGAACTACAATTGGTCTTGGAAAAGTCAATCATGATAAGGTATGGATTTTGTTTTCGTTTTATTTTTGAGCCTACTTACAAGTAGTCAACCTCGCAAAACGTTTTTTCGCTTAGCTTGTCAGATCATTTGAGAAACAACTTGACCTCTGAGTTCCTTTTTAGTTTTCCAGTCTAGTTCATGCGTTACTTTGTATCAATTTCTAATGTAATCTCATGATTAGTATCAAAGAAACTAACATTAAAGTTTAAATAACGCAAATATGAAGTAGTTCTCAAATGATATGTAGTCGACCACCCATAATGATTCTGATTTAGAAGCTGTTCATTTCTACTTATTATTTATTACTCTTTCAGATCATAATCTTTAACAGCGTTGATATTATCAGTGAGAATAGCATACTTTCCAGTAGATTTAGTCCAGTGAATCAATACGACAGCTTTACGGAAGTATACTTAACAATGTTATGTGGTGTTATGGCCTCAGTCATAAGAAACGTAGAACCTGGCATATATAAGTAACAGTTTAAATTGCCACACCACATTAATGCAGAGAAGTGAAATTACCAAGACAAACATCAGAGTAATAGCAGTAGTGACAATATTAGTGGTAAGACAGGTTAGGTATATACATCACCACGAATTCAAGGAATAAAAGGTATGGGGTAATTTTACAACTCAGGATCTAAGGGAAATCAAGAAATAAGTGTAACTTGCAACTGATTCTGAGCCATGTTTCCAGCTACTGAGTACGGTAATCGTTATAACTGCAACCAGATAATCTATAGCTACCTCAATGACTCAGTCCAGCAATAGCCTAGTGGCTAAAGTTGTCAATTTTCGGTTGTTAAATCACATGTCTGAATCCTACTTCTATTGGGAGCAACCATGCATTATAAATAGCCCTTACACAAGCAGTAATTTTGAAACCATTAATTGGTAAATTGATCATATAACTAGATAGCAACAGATATTAAATTTGACTCTTAGTTTAATTTGTTATATGTATGCGATACTGTACTTCGATACTAGGATACAACAGCCTCTTTACTCTTCTAACCTCTGTTATTACAAAACATAAATCTTGTAATGAATATTTTCTTGGCAGAGACTAAGTAAGAGTAGTTCACATTCGAATTTATGCAATTATGTAGCGATTAGATTCATGCTGAATTGATTGAATACAAATGAGAATTCACTAAAATTCAAATGGAGGAAAATCACTTTGAATCGGGATGTGGGTTTTAAAATCGACATTTTCTTAGTATTTTATATTTAAGAATCGAATAACCCTAACAATTTACAGTACCAATTGGTATGAATTGCAAATGAAAACCAGTACCCCATATAGATTCATAGGTTCTTTATTACTGAATTCCATGATTGTGTTTCAATACTGGTATATGAATGACATTTCAAACTTTAAGTATTTTACAACTGAAAAGTCTAGTACATAAATCTCTACATGATTTCCCTAGATTGTTCATTAACGTATTTGTCAGTAGAGTACGATACTTCATGAGCGCTTAAACCGAAGCGGATTATTTTCGTAGTAGGACACTCCCTGAGTCTAATCCTCAAGGTAGTGGAACAACATTAAGAAATGTCATCCTATGGTAGCCGGTAATCAAAATAAGTGTAGACCCTATTCGTTTCTTTAAGATACCGGAGCATATGCCAACCTTTAATTTACAATTACAATTTTCTAACTGCCTTATGTGAACCCTCCATATCCATCAACTCGATCTATGAGCTGGATGTTTGCTTTTTGTTCTCTTACTTCTGTAAACATTACCTGCATCACATGAACCCAGTGAGTAGGGCTTCCTTGGCATAGACTATAACCAAGTGACTATATGAGAACACTTCGAGGAGGAGAGCAAACGTTTCTCACTCCCGGACATACCACAAAACATTTAAAAACAATCTTCGCAAGATGATATCACTACTTTTGCTTCTATCTAACAGGATTTATTGATGTTATTTTCGTAATTTATTTGTTTTACCATCATGTTCCTAATAAAAGTGTTTTCTCAGTATTTTTGTTTTTCGTTTGGTTCTAATAGACGGGTCAAAGCTGATGTTTTATCACAATTACCGCCTAAACGTCGTGAATTAGTTGTTCTAGATCCAAGTATAATTAAAAAAGGAAGTCTGGGTAGACATGCTAAGACAATGTTAGCTGACAAATTATCCGTAAGTTGATTTTGAGCAGAGGTCGAATAGAATTCATTAATATATATGTGTTTATATAATCTTCTTCTCTTTGTAGAGTAAAGAGAAACGCTCTGCTTTATTCGAATATTTCCATGAAACTGGTTCAGTGAAACTTCCAGCTATAGAGTACGTTATTTCGTTATTTTTTTGTTTATTGGTACTTTTTGCTTTTAAAAGACTCACTCAATATACTTCTTAATTTTATTTAATAAACGGTTACATGCTGACGAATAATCCGATGGTCTTAATCATGCAGAAGTGTTGATGCCATAAGTTCATATCTCAGAAAACATCTAGTTTGAAAATACACACTATTCTAATAAATATGTAATAAGAACCTACGATAAGTGTATGTCTTAATTTCTTATATTTATAAATATTCCGTCAGTCGTTTGAATAGATTCTGATTTCTGAGTACTATTCTAGATAAACGAAAGGGTGTTAAGAGAAAAGCATAATACTTTCAAACTAGTAGTGGAAAATCATGATTTCGAGGTTAAAATAAATGATTTTCTGTTATTGGATCTCCAAGTCAATCTCTCTTATGTCTACCTTGATTTAAGAAACCTGGCACAATCGCCTAATGGTGTTCAACCATGTTGGTTATGAGATAGTTATTAACCGCTGGCAATAAAAGATGGTTGTGCAATACAGCGAATTAAGTGTAATTATATATGCAATCTATTGGCTCCCGCCTTAGTGTTGCAGGTATCAAGTGATTGCGCATGAGACCTGAAGGTCCTGTGTTAGATCTCCAGTGATGGGGTCGTGAATTAGCATTGCTTAGGAGTCCCATGCACGGCCAAAACAACTATACAGTGCTTCGTCGTTTTCAATAGTTATTTAACCAAGACTAGTCATGGATGTAAATCGTGAAAATACCGGTCTCCACAAATCCTCTTCTTGCATATTTCTCGGTTTTACTAAGGTTTCTACCTCCTCTTGCTAACATGTTTCGCCAAAAAATGTTAACTAATTTACTTGTTTCAAAGTGTTAATTGTCATGGTTTTTAGAGTTACCACACAATTTCAAATCTGCTAACAGTAACATCGTTTTAACTCATTCAAATTGATCGTGTATAAAAGATGGCCCTAAATTTCTTTATCCACTTAGTATTATGTATAACTTCTTTAGTATTTCTCACATGTTTTTTTTCCACTGATATGACGTAAAATGATGTTTTGCAGTCTAGGATTGTTTTCCCATACAAAAGGTATTTTTATAGTTTTGACGTCTGTTGTCTTTTCGATCATTAATTCTGTTGTTTGAGGAGGAAAATATTCAAACCACTGTGGTGGTGGTAGTACTTTTGAGTTGTATAACTCGTTTTTTAAAAGCCTATGGAAATAAATGCACCTCTGGAAAAATATTGATTTAAAAGTTTAAATAGGTCTACAATTCCTCGGTATCTGTATGCAAACGAGTAAATTGGAACAATAGCTGTGTGATTTTCATCACCTACAGTCTCAACTACTTGGTTAGACATACAAACTCAACTAAACATGGATCAGCTTGAAAAATTGAATGGTTTCACTATCCTTCACATACAGATTTTTAATTATGTTCTATCTTGTCGATGCTATTGTTTATTATGATAGTAACTGGTTAATATCATTTATACTAAAATTAAGTTCGGCTAAAAGCTCGAGTATTTAAATCTACGCTTGATAAATGAGTTATGTTAAGAAGTTATCCAATTAATTGACAAGTATCTGTTGGTCATATAATTAATGAATCCCTTACAAAGCACTACTGATCACAATTTTTTAAAATCTTCACTGACGTTTATATTTTAGACAATATGTTTTAGATTTAATCGAATGTGGCCACAAATTCTTACTTTTCGCACATCATACAGATGTCCTAGATAGTCTCGATAAATTACTTTCAGAAAAGGTAATTTTATGACCTTTTTCAATTGGTACTTATTTGTTAAGATTACCGTGATATTTGTTCAGCATTTAAATGTAACGTAATTTTTTGTAGCCTATATATATGTATATATTAACCTGGTTTAAGTACCGGACATTCGTTTTTCATCCTCTTACTTACTTGAACAACATCCCTACTGCGAGAAGAAGTAGTTGGCAGGAACACACTGGCAGTTGAGAGCGGACTCTCCTCATCCTCGGTCGTATAAGGGTATTTAGAAGTTAACTGAAAAAATGTAGAGGTGGTCAGTTTATGACATGGTGCCGGAGTACGAAAGATAGCTCTACAAAACTAGCATCGCTTAGCCGTTCATGACTCCCTGGTCGAGATCCTAGATATAGTGCAACATAGTAGCCGGATACGTTATCGGACATAATTCAAAACAAAAGCCTGCAATGATCTTGCTGTTATTTTGTTTACTTCATAAGAGCAAAAGGAACTTCTTTAACTGAAACAATTCACTCTGGTTATATTTTGCTTAACTGATATTCATCCATTACTTGCTGCTCTCATTCACTTATTTCTACTGATTTATTGATTTTTAAAAATTGTACTGACCTTTCTCTATCTCTCCATAATCTCATTTTCTTATTATATGGCGCATACTTATTTTAATGCCCCATTGTACCAACATTTGTCTGTTTAAATAGATAAAGGTATGGGAGATTTATAAAGATTGTTCAGTGTATAGTTCGCATTACAGATTAAGATTAACTAGATAATCAGTTAGAACCAGATAGCACAAGAGAGTTGTTCTATCCAAGTATGGGACTCCTTGGTCGTTAACTCCCATTACCCACTGGGGATAAAACCTGTTATGAAGGAAAAAGATATGTATTTTAGTAAATTAATTACATTTTGATATGTTTGGTATTACAAATCGAATACATTCATCAAGCCATTAGTTTGAATTATTGTTAAGTACTCCCCAGTTCAATGTATTCAAATTTGACAATTGACAAATAAGTAAATCATATATAACTCAATGTATTCGATATAAATTCTGATTTAGTCTTGGGCATAATGAATATTCATTCTTTCACTCTTAGTCTCTCGCTTGCATCTGGCCATATCAGTATTTTTATTCAGTTAGAACAAGTAACAGGTACCAGTTTTTCAGCAATAACAAAAAGTGATCACATCAGTTTTTATCAGTTTATAATAAAACTCAAGACCTTTAGGAAGCTCTTTTCCTGCTCACAGCATTTAGTTTGCATTTGATGGTTCCTGTAAAAAGAATATCCACCACTTTGATTTATTTCTCTTGTTTACTTTTTTGCGGTTTAATAGTCTATACGTTTTATTCGTATTGATGGTCGTACAAATTCTGAACAGAGATCTGTTGTTTGTCAAATATTTCAAAAAGAGGACGATTGTCGTGTTGCATTGCTTTCAATTACTGCAGCTGGAACAGGTAAGAAAAATTACCAAACATTTTATCTATATTTAAATGGATTAGGGTCAGTTTTAAATCAATTTCGTTTCTCCTTTTTTTGTACACATTAGTCCATCTGTACGAGATGCCTCAGTTCCTAGCAATATGTTAGGAAGAAAATGGACCAAATAATAACCAGAATAATGGGTGGGATAGAGAGACATTTTAAGCCAACACATGACATGTTTGGTTCATAGCTTCATGAATTAGTTAGTGAGATGTATTACTTGGATCGATTTCAAGCCAATTAACCCTATTGTCTAATATGTCTAGGGTTGTGATGTAGAAATTTGTATCTGTATTTGCAATATAACCCAGAATAATATCTTATTATCGTAATCATTGACTATTTTCCCATAATGTAAATCTATTCAGATGACTTGTACATGTCTTTTTTATATAGTGATTAAATATGTGTAATACAAGATTTATGAATTTATTTGGCAATTTACTTTCCCTTTATCTAACAACCCCTACACTCAAGTCCTACTATATGCTGCTGATACTTCTCTTTTACTACTTCTCTCGCCTTCTAGTTCAAAATGATCAATGCTTTTCTATTTAGTCTTCGAATTATTAAACTGTAATCCCTCTCCAATGTATTTAATATCGATTCATTGTTATCTTACTAGTCGTAGATTGATTGATATAGATTAACAACTACCTATGCAACAAAGGTAACTGTTGGTACGGCTCCGAAAAGCATTGCAAAGCTTCCAGAGCCGAAGAGATTCTGTCCAATCAGAACCTGACAGAGCCTTCTAAAATGTTAATATGGCATGTTGTGAATAGACAATTGCATAACCTATCTCCTGGCGGATTTGCTAGATTATAATGATGTTATATCCAATACTAATAACCACAAATACCCATATTTTCCTGTACATCTTTGATTTTTACCCAGTAACCGCTTCCCTTGCTTCTTTCGTCTTTCTGTTTGCGACTGTGGGGTTCTACACATTCGGGTGCCATTAGTTGTATATCGTATCTTCCCGTAATCAAGTAGAGAACATAACAATAAAAAAGGGTTGATAAAGTAGTGAGGTGTTTGGGACCACGTGTTACTATGTATGCCTAACTAGGTTTCAAAGAGATCATTGACAATTCTAATTTACCTATTTCTATGGACCTGTACGTTAGTTCAGTCAGTCAGTCACAACGTAGAACTTCGTACGTACGTACCTCAGTTCGAGTTGCCGTACCACATTAGCACAGAGATGCAGTTGTCCATTCAAATCCCATAGTGGTAGAAGTAGTAAGAGTATAGGCATTATTTGAAAGAATAGGGTTTGAAGATGTTATTGAAGGAGTATAATACAGTGAAATAAATTTGGAAAGAAAAAAAGGATAGGGACATGAGGCATTCATAAGATTAGAATTTGGTAGAACACAAGGAGAGGATACGTCTTCGCCATTGCAATGATTTTGAGCCATATCATTCAAGGTCTCTAACCATCGATTGCTATCATCTCGCGAATCCCAACCAGGTAGTCTACACCTACTAGCATGACTCAGTCCAATGGTCAGTGGATTCATGGATTTGTGCCACGTTTCGGTCTGGCCGCCCATAGCTTTCTTCCAACCTACTCCTACACCATGAAACATTGCACGTTAGGGCAGTCGGTGGTTGGACATACGTAACACGTGTCCCAGCCATCTCAACTGATGTACGTTAGTTAGCTTTCTATATGAACTGGATTACGTTAATGAAATTTTTCAAAGCCAGTATAGATTGGATATATGTTTTTTTTTCTCTTATTCCATTCGTAGGCATTCTTTAGACTTGTACACATGTTACTTCATATAACAGTAAAATTGACATTCATTCTATAAATCCAGCCAATTAAGAGTTAAATAGCTCATTCAGTGTATTATGTTTATTGACAGATTGCTTCTACCTTGTCTCAAAACACAATCACTTCAAACAACGATCACACACACAAGTTGTGTGTGTGTATTTGTTGTTAACGTTGTCACAAATTTTCTTATATTTCCACTTTTTTCTTTCTTCTTCATTATTATTATTATTATTAGCTTTATTCACTATTATATTTTTGGTACAATATAGAATTCTCAGCACAAAGTACTTCAACAAGTTTCCGTTTTTTACTTCTTTGTCCTTCCTGATGATAAATATTGAGTGATCGACGGTTAGAAGTTAGCAGCCCAGTCAATCGATATGTGAATAATGTACATTCTTCTCGTTGCATATTGCCAGCAACCACAATATCTCTGATTAGGCCTTCTGTAACCTTTACAGTGAAAGGTTTTACACTTTTCAGAAACGCACCTGAATAGATTATGCAATTAATAGGCATAATGATGTATTTAAAACAAACGAAATTAGATAACTTGTTGAAATATCTAGATGACAGGAACAGGTAGCCCAGATGTTTAAACAGGCCGCCGTTTAAGAATGTTTTCATTTTAATCATCTGTAAATAGGTGTATGATGTAGTATATAGATTTTTCAAAACATAAATCATTTATGCATACATATATATATGTATGATATGATTAGAATAAAACATTTATTATCGTCGCCTATAGTGACGTGTTTTCTGCCTATTGTCGTTATTGTTCTTTCTCTTTCCAATATAATGTAATGTTAGTAATATTCAACAATGAAATACCTTCTCTCTCTATATATATGGGTTACATTTATTTATTTATTTAGTTATGTTTTGTAAATGTTATTCAAGCGTGAAATCTGTTTAGGCAACTGTAAATTTATCTGTTGTGTATGCCTCTGTATTTTTGTCTTGATTGGTAGAGAATAAAGGAATAACGTTACTTACTTAGTATATTGTCACTAATTATGATGTACACAACATCGTCGTTGTCATCATCATCATCATCATCATCGTTCTTGGTTCAATTATTTTTTATGTATGAGTAACTGAAGTAAACATATATATGTGTGTATGTGTATTTGTTCATAACAGTGTCATTATTAAAATGTCCTGTATTTAGTTGAAGAATACAGATGTGTGTTTATTTTTTTTCTTTGTATGGTTACTACAAATGGTAGAATAAGTTATTACTATTATCAGTAATAAGGAGTTTCATTTTTGTTTATCAATAAAGTATTGTATTATTGTCGTTGATCTATAGTTTCTTTTCACAATTTGTCTTGTTGGACTCAATTTTTTCATTCTGTCGTAACGTAAAGCTTGGTATAATTTGGTGGCAGTTCAAGTTGATGTGATGAGATTAACATAATGAATGGTGATGATAATCAGAAACATTGAACATGGAGAATATAGGTCTTCAACTGTAATTATTATAATTTTATAATTAAGATTCTTGATTTTAAGTCAACTAAATTGGAGGTACGAAAAACCCTTCCACATACACACACAAAAATTCCTTTCATAGTGAATATACAATTATTCTTGTGACTATTTGATGTAGTCCTGTATATATTTATGAACATCTTTTAAATAGCTACTGCGAACTGGTAATAACTGATGGTGTCTTCTTTTTCCTTACACCAAATACCAGCTAATTACTTTTTTGAAACGAATGGAAGGATTTTCGTGAATATATCTTGCAATGGTCCTGATGATTAAGCAACTACTGAAATATTATTAAACATTATTCAGTTAGTTTTTGCTTAGTAATATCTATTTGCCGTTCTAATAATCATAACTTACCCTGTTTTTTAAAGTTTGTATCATGAAATGATCTTAATTAGACCAGCAAGCACCGAATAGCTGTTTCATCCTATCATGGGTTTCGTCGGCAGTATCGTTGACCCCACCGGTGGACGAACCAAGGGGCTTCAAGTCTAACGGCAAGCACCTATTCTTTCGACCAGTAGGCCGGTATCCGATGGTTGAATGTTTACCTTCAGTCTATGCTCCAAACTTGTGGGTAACAACTGCCTTACATTCGGCATTATTGAACTTCATTGGTCACTGCTTCTCACTAGAACTCATGGGACTAATTTTCAATCTTTTCAGTTGGTGATCATAGGATAATTATTTTGAATAACCTATATTATTGTTTGTAGGTCTTCATTTAACTGCGGCCAATTTAGTTATATTTGCTGAATTGTTTTGGAATCCTGGTGCATTAGTTCAGGCTGAAGATAGAGCATATCGAATTGGTCAAATGGATTCTGTGTTGATACGTTATTTAATTGCAGAACAAACTGCAGATGATTTCATTTGGTGAGTTAAATTGTAGATTATCATGGTTAAAGTTGATTAGATTAGTTATTAGTTAACTACAATTAACATAAACTCTTTCACTAAATCTATTTACTGGAAGAAAAGTATAATATGCAAAGTTGTAATGAGTTAACTATATACTCCAAATTGATGAGCCATTAATACTAATTCCTACTGCTGATACCTTAAATATCGCTCGATGAATCATTCTCTTCACCATGTATATATGTACTCCAATCCTATTTATAGCCTTTGCCTTGGTGTACCCTTATTCGATGCCCCCAAATGCCCTGGTACGGCCGAGAGTGGGGAGAGTCCGCTCTCCCTCTCCAAATACTTTCACATGGCCACGTGTATATAGCCTCTACCAGGGAAGTCTTACTCATTGTCTTCTGGCAGCGGGAGTGTTTTTTACAAAATTGAGAGGACGAAAAGCAAATGTCCGGCGCTTTAACCGGGTTAGTGGACACGGCGAGTCCATCTAGGGGAGTTGGAAAACCCTGATTCCAAAACAATGGTGCACTTGGGCTCCAGTATCCTGAGGGAACAAATGGCGTACGATTCAATCATTTATCACCGGCTACCATGGGACTGCATCTCCTCACGATGCTCCACTGCCTTGTGGATCAGACATTCAGGTCAAAGGCTCCGGGTGTGATCTCCTACGAAAACACCTGCTTCAGTCTGGGCACCTGAGCAGTATCACAGCCCTCACACAAATCAAATGAGATTTGTGAGGCGCATATGTATCTGGTGCTTCTTTGTACCAATATTTATGTGTCTAAATAAAATAAATAAAAAAACCCTTATTCGATTGAACTATAAACTCACCTTTGCATTTGCTCACACACATATATTCGCCTTTCTGCTTGAAATTCACTCGATATTCTTATAACTTTGTTATCCATGTCGTTCGCGAATAAATTGTAGTTGTCGCTTCTTATTGCCTTCTGATTTCAAACACCTTTGGGATTTTTATAATAACGGTTGTCAAGTTGGCTGATTAACGAAGCTAAGCCACTATAATGACTTACTTCAATGCAACGAATAGACCATTGTAGTAAATAAAAGATACAAAGTCGAAACTTAACTCTTCTTAGATTATAGTAGTGACCTACTGTTTAATTACGGCAATAATAACAAAGAGTATTGACTTATGATTGTGTTACAACACCACTGGAAAGCGTACATTTAAGTAATAAAACCCTCATCATTTCATTGTTGGTTCTACGTCTAGTCGATAAAAAATTATGATTGTTGAGTGATCTTCCAACTTTGCTTTCGCATTTGTTAACATTAATCAAGTAAATCATTCAATGAATCGAATTCCATGTGATTCGAGCAGTTTGAAGATTTTCATTGGTCTCCTCGTTATGATGTAATATAATCCCAAAAGATAGAAATTCAATCATAATACGAAATTATTTAAGAAGGCAGAAGTTCAGGACGCGAAATATTATTCTGGTTTGAACTGTTTAACCTTATAACATGGTATATTCATTTTTAGGCCTCTTGTGGAACGTAAACTCGATGTATTGTCCAAAGCTGGTTTAAATCGAGAAACATTTCGAATGGCTGATTCTACAACAAGACTTGGTGTATGTTCTCTTTTTTCTCGTTTTATTCTATTAACTTTTATTGTTTATTGTACTAGTGATATCAAACTTTCCGTTATCTAAGTATTTTTTGTGGTACTATGTTCGGTTAGATCATGGGTTAGATTGGATGATTAGTTTAAATAGCGAGAATTTTTAAGACTGATGCATTTGATGGGATTATAATCACACAGTTCAATATTCAGTTATAATTTGTTGGTTCTTTTTTTGTTGTAGAACTCTTTATTTTGATGAGGTTTATTACGACTTGAATAAGTCAATGGTTAGTAGTGTTGCTTGTGCCTGTAGGTATTTGGGTATGTGACTCTTTGGATTAGTATCGTTTTTCTTTAAGAATACAAAACTGTTTTACTTTTAATTTGTAGATTGTATTAAAACTAAATTCGCGGTTTTCTATCCATTGTCTTGGACTATTTAACTTGTTATTTCCGGCTGTTAATGAAAAGACCCTATTAGCTGGTACCTATTAATAATATTACAAACCTAAGTATACTTCTACGTATGTTGAAAGCCAGGGCTATTTATATAATTAAGGGTCGTCTTTGAAACCTTTTTACTGTTAGTTCAACTGTTAAATATCGGGTTTACAATGTTTCAGTGAGTAGTAGTTTTGCTTTATGCTTGCGAAACATGGCCTTTCCGATGTTCAGTGACCCTATGTTCAATAACCGTTGGCTCTGAATCACTATTGACATTCAGTGACAGTACCATGTTGGTAGTACAAAATTTCGTTAATGTGTTTTGGCACAGTGCTGAATAAGCGATTGGTGTTGTCGCCTTGAAATATTGGCTTCGGCGGCCTTGAACATATTTTGCAAATATCACTTCGTAAATAACGCTGTAGTTAAAATCAGTGTACTAAATAAGATTGACTGATTGGCTGATGAGGTTATGAGTCTTAATCGACATGCATTATGTATACCTAACCACAGCCTACCACGACAGACAATAATACCTAATGTATAATTAATCTAGAAGAAGTCTAGGGACATCCAAGTAAAACGTATCATCAGTACATGAAATTATTGACATTTGAAGTGAACCATGGTTTTAGGTGCAGACTACTTGGTTGTAGTCTGTCTAGTTACCGCGATCACTTTTTTCAGGCTTCAGGTGACTACTCAAAATCGTTTACAACGGTGTAGATGTGTCCAATATTTGTCTCCCACTAGACCTTGAGTCTTAGGATTATATTATGCTTTATATTTCATGAATTCATTTTTCAATCATCTTGTCTATACCTAATGTTTTCTCTGGAGTTTGTCCAGATAATTCCCTTACTCTGTTCTAGTATGTTATGGCAACCTAAACCAATGCACATATTTTTCAGTTCATTTGTTTCTTTTAAATGACTGATAGAATTCAATGTTTGGTAAATGAGTTATGTACGTTTACATGTAGTTAATTTGTTAGATTAGTCAATAGTAGCTTTGCTTTTGAGATTTTTTTAAATTGTGATTTCATCCTCGTCTCTGCTGTTATAGCTGGTAAAGGTATATTTAATTCTAATGAAAACTTTAGAATAAACCATGAAAATGTATTACATCTTGTTAATTACATGCACTGGGATGTTGGTGCGTTCTCACTCAAACCTGGATTCAATATGTCCTATTTCTAATGTTAGATTTTAATACAAATATACTTATAACTGATACAGTGAACCAATCAAATGTCGTGTAGATTATAGCCATACATTATTTGCTGATATTTAGCCGTCTTTTCTAACGGACGAGCCACACTATTGGCTAAACTCGCCGCTTCGATTTCTAAGAGCCAAAAATATATATGAATGAGTGATTAGATATTTCTTGATTCAGTTTAGCCAATAATGCTTACTTCTCACTTGAGTAGCCGGTTGAACTACAATTCTCGACTTATTTTTTCCCATTGTAATCATTTCATGTTAAGCGAAATAGCGGATTCATCAGTCGATTAGTAGATAATGATGGCAACTTCTTGTTTTGTAAATTTCTCTCCTTTGGCTCATCTACTAACAGTTCAAATTCACTTCTTTATCAAATGATTAATTCAACTTAACTGGAACTGGTTTCATCCTTTTTACCATTTTCTTTTTCTATGATCCATAATTATATAAACCTTTGGTGTTTCCCACTGCTGTTTAGTTGTTCTTTTTTTAATCAATCATAATATCTTTTTGTTTATTTAAATCTATATGTAATGAATTTACTACTTATATGAAACAAAATAAATCTTCTAACTGAAGTATATATAAGTCGACCTTGAATGTGACAAGTCAGACAGCTTTATCAATTATCGTTGTTGTTATTATTATTCTTTTTACGAATGATTGAGACGAAGAATAAGAGTAGAAAAACGTAAGAAAATTATTCTGTCAAGCTCTTATTTCAATATTTACTTTCATTTTCTATTCTTCTGAATCCACCTTTTCTATCCTGCTCCTCCCTGCGTATGCCGCACTTCTTTTGTATGCGCATACATATTACCCCTTTATGGTTTGATTTTAATTTGTTTCTTTTATTAATTATTTCTTAATAGAATAAAGTGGATAATGTTTCATTGTATATTTGTCTCTGTGTGTGTGTGCGCGCGCAGTAATCGTGGCGGTGATGATGTCTTTTTTTTTCATTATTTCCTTCTGGTTATTTTTGAGTTTTTGTGCGTCTACATGTTCAATAGTAGTATGGAGAGAGATGAAGGAAGATTAAATTTTGAATATGAATTGAGTTTTAGTAATCTAATAAATCAATATTTAACTAAAACGGGTTATTGAAAATAATACAAATCAAAGTGGTTGATATATTGAATAAATAATTTTTCTGTTATCGTTGTTTTCATCTGTTTTCATGTTTGATCTCAGTATAGCTATTTAAAAATTGTTCTAGAATACCTTATTTATTTATTTATTTAAACATATAAATATTGGTGCAAGGGGGCATCAAATATATATGCGCCACACAAAACAATGAAAACGGGAAGAGATAGGGGTAAGATGCATATTAAAATAAAGAGTAATGGTGAGGGAAACTGAAATGTACAACCGGAGGAACTCTCTCAGTTAAGGAGGTTATAACTACTCTTTATACAGAAAGTAAAAGAAGGTTACTGCAGGATTGCGATTGGCTTCTATTCTGAGCGATATCTGATAACGTCTCTAACCACTGTGTAGCACCATCTCTCGTGTGAAGGATCAACTGAAGTCAGTCCTTTGCAGCTTTCTTTCATACCACGACACCATGTCATACACTGACCACTTCTCCGCTTTTTCCAACCAGTCCGAGCGTCGGCAAATAATGCACGACGTGGAATTCTCTGGGACGACATTCGTAGAACATGTCCAAGCCACTGAAGTCTGTGTTTCAAGATGGTGACACCAATTGGGTTGTCGTCTCTGCGCCCGAACACACGATGCCGAACCTCTGTATTACTAACATGGTGTTGCCACTGGATGTCAGCAATCCTTCGGAGATAACGATGATCGAATACAGAATAACTTGTAGAATGATGAACATTTCTGCAATACACCTCATTTAATAATACAAACATCAACTGTGTTATATAAAATGTAGAGGATAAAGTCTCTGTTCGGTCTGTAAAACTTTGTATATAAGTTTAGAAACTGTTTAGATTTCCTTATTCTTAAGAAATGGTGCCTCAGTATGAAAGAAAATTGTATGGAACTAGTTTCTGTTGTTTCGTCAGAACTCCTTGATCGGGGTTTTAGAGATTGTACAACTCAGTGCCTTCAGCTTCACAACTAAATGTGACAGATCAACCAATAAGTTTCTCTAAATAAATTGCTGGGTTGGTTTTCAAAGTTGTATCAATAAAACATGAAACTTCATCAATAAATAAAGGAAAGTGTATATTTTTTAGTGTGGGGATTGTAGTATTTTCAAAGTTGAATTGACCAGTCGATCGAAGTTTAGTACATCTTTTCATTGCCGTATTGCATCAGAATTTTAGTTTTGTTATTGATGGTGTTACCGAGTTTTATTTACGTGAAAATCGGTCATAGAAACTCAGATACATTCTTTTTCTTCTTACCCTTCTAGATCTTCATTTTCAAGATTATTTCAACGATTCTTACATCTCGGTTTTTACTTTTTGTCTTAGAACCATCTTCTCTGCGTCTGTTTTTTAGTTTTTAAAAACAAAACGTTATATTTTTTTGTACATCTGGTTAATTTTTCTCTCGTTTGTTCTACGACGATTTAATGTGTGTATCAAGTTGAATACTCTATGGTTATTTGTACCTGATTTCATGCGTTATTGTTCACGATTCACTATACTGAACAATTGATCATATTCATTTGATTATTGTTGATAAACAAATGTTTACATCTAATATTTACTGCTTCGTAAAGTTAGACAGTGGAATCCATGACGAGCGTTTCATCCTATTCGGAACTCCATTATATGTGTCTGCATCTCAGTGATATGGATATCTGTACTGAAATGCACGTATATCCAACTGAGGAGTTTAAGATTGTATAAAACGTGCATCCTAGATTTCACTGCTAACCAATATCTAACTGGTGAACGGTTGTTCAAAATCGTGGATCGGTTGAAGTTAGACATTAACACCGTTGGATACCAGCTCAGTGGTCTATCGGTTAAGGGATCTGGCTCGAGACTGGTAGGTTGTGGGTTCGAATCTCGCGAGGCGGGATTGTGGATGCGCACTGCTGAGGAGTCTCATAATAGGGTGAAACGGCCGTCTAGTGCTTCCAGGTTTTCGATGGTGGTCTAGCTTCAGTTAACTCATGATTTCAACTATGAAAATACTAAATTCTCTACAAAACCCCCTCTGATCAATATCTAACTGCCAATAAACCGGTAACTTGATAGGCATATTTGAAGCAACCTCTTCACAATTCACAAATCCTATTCAAAACTGATTGATTAGAGTCGTTAACGTCAACAATGGGAGAATGTAGATCTTTTTAAATAAGATATTGATATCCGTTTTATTTCAAGAAATGTTAATAATGCACTTTTTCTCTTTCTTATCTTCAGTCTAATACACTTGAACAACAAAAAATTCTAGATTGTTTCAAAAAAGAATTGAATGATTTTGAAGAATGGGAAAATGTTGATACTGTAACATCAATAATCAATGAACAAAGTAACAATACTCAATCTCGAAATAATAAGAAAAATAACAATAATAATGATCATCAGTATAAGGTTGAAACTCAAAACAATCCTTTAATGAATCAAATTAATCTAAATCAACCAAAAATGATCATTAGTTTATTTAAATCAAAATCACAATCATCAGTGATTAATAATACTACTCCTAATAAAAATAATTCAAAAAAACGTCTTCTTGTTCCATCATCACCTGAATCAAATCATTCAGAGATATTTTCAAATGAACTCAATAATGATAATATTGATGAAGATGATTTAATTTGGGTTGATGATGATGATGATTTTGTTGAACAAATTGATGAATCTGATATAACTGATAATAATATTGAAGAATTTTCTGGAAATGATGAATATTTATTATCAGAAGCTGTTAAAATTGCTGAAGCCGTTGAAGTTGATTGGCTTACAGAAGGTCTTATCAAAGAAGATACAGATGATATTGAAATCAATCTATGATAATAATACAAATAGGTTATAATTTTGTATATAATATCCAAGAGTTGATTATTTTTATAAAAAAAAAAGATAATAACATGATTTATTTCTTGTGGCAAACATTATCTATCAAACTTTACTATTATTCTCATTCTCATCATTATTTTGTTGTGAAACGTTTACTATTTGTTAAATACCATAAACTGTAAATACATTGAGTGATTGAAGCCTGATTATACTTGTAAAATGAATTAGTTACAAAAATTGGTACTAGAAATTGTCCGAAGGGGATTTTGTGGAGATTTTAGTAATTTTATATAGTTGAGATCATTAGTCAATTGAAGATTGACGACTGTGGAAGATCTGGAAGCACTGGACGGCCGTTTCGTCCTATTGTGGGACTCCTCAGCAGCGCGCATCCACGATCCCGCCTCGCGAGTTTTGAACCTAGGACCTTTCAGTCTCGCGTGCGAGCACTTAACCGATAGACCACTTAGTTAGCATCCAACAGTGTTAATGTCTAACTTAAACTAATCCACGAAATTATTCACAAACATACGGGGTTTATATACCAATCAAACTGACCACATCGTACCATAAAATAGGAAATAACATTTATACAACATTTCAGTCAGTCACAGCGTAGAACTTCGTACGTACGTACATCAGTTCGAGCTGCCATACCATCTTGTGTTTTTATACAAGGTTTGGCCGAACGTGGCTGTGAATAGGGAGGCAGTAATTAATAGACTGGGTATAACTCAAGAATGGTAAGTCGTATAATAATAGTCTATAAGTCAAAATAAAGCTTATAATAAACGGAACATGAATATGAATAATTACGTTACTTAGAAATTATACAATAGGATATATACATATCATATTGGTCCATAAGTAGTCCTCAGAGTACCTATTCATGATTCTCCACGGGATATTATATATATATATATATATATATATATATATATATATATATATATATATATATATATATATATATATATATATATATATATATAGTGCTTCTCGTCTGTCAGTCAAAAGTGATGCGGAGCTTTTCACGTATGTGTATCGGCCCAGATTTCCAGGATTATTAGCAATAATAGTATCTGTAGCAAAGTCTCCAACAATTGATTACGATAGTCGTGTAGATCCTAACCAGATAGCAGATGAGCATTAGTTATCTTGTCAATTGATTTAGCACACTTTCCCATTACCCTGTGTTCAATCTTGGGATTAGTCACTTTACAGGCAAAATATACACCAGCAATCATTCGAAAGCATCTATGACGAAATGTTAGTGACCTGTGGATATCTGTTTTTATAGGCCATATTTCACATCTATCTAGACGAACAGTGTACTCATCCCTTGATTGTAAACAGATATCTCGACTCAAGTAATGCAAGTAGGCAAAAGTCAGTCAAAATTTTTAGATCCATGCTGACAGACACTGATCCACCAGGAATGATGAAGCTTCCAAGATAATTGAAATAGTTTCCCTGATCAACTCGGCCAAAAATAATTTTTGTGTTCTGAAGACACTTTTAATAACAACTAAATTAAGAAGATCATTGCTTTCCCCTTATCCGTAATTAAGGATTTTGAGTGTATGACGATAAATATTAGGAAAAGAACGGGGATTAAATAAATTGTTGACATATGTGTCAAGTATTTTTAGCTGCACACTTATCTCACTCAATATCACATTGATGAACACGTTGGAACTTGTATTTAAAATTGTGAGAGCTTGATCAATAATGTTCTTTATTATTTATAAGGTAATTATTACCCAAGTTATTGGCTTTTAAATAATACTAACTGATACTATTGCCCGGGACAGAATTGGTTGAAGAATGCTGGTAGGCTGCCTTTGCTCTTCCACGAGAAGTGACAAGCGTAAGCAAGTGATATCATCCTTAAAACTATTAATACTATTAGACGACAGATATGAAGAGTCTAAAACTAGGTGTGAAAAATTGTTGATTAATATGAAAGAATCGTTGTGAATAATAAATTTAGACCACAGTTGTTTTAATGTTAATCTTGTGAAACATTCAAATATGTTGCAAACAAACGAATAGGAAAAACAATGTCGCTTTTGAAACAACTTTTTATGAATAATAAATGCGTATCTCCTTATATACATTGTAGCATATTTTTTTCTGAATTAAGCATTAATTTAACAAGGCAATTAATTATTACAATCTTGCATATACTACTACTACTACTACTCACCTTAAGATACATATAAATATGTCATTGTTTATTCATTTACCTTCATTGTTTTTATACTTGTCTAGATGAATATGCGTTAGTTCATTTTTCATGTCAGGCTTCCCTTCATATTTACCAGTTCCTACTGTTACTCTCGTTTTCTTTGTTTTCTTTTAAAACGATAAGATTTTTCAACCTTTTATATATGTGCATACACATACGTGTATGCGTATTCTTTCAACATACCGTTAGACAATATAAGTAGTTTGTTTTTTTGTGTTGGTGAGTATTAGAATTGTTTAGAATTAGGTGTGTTGTTAAGATCTCAAATCCATTAAAGTTGTTTCCTCTTTTTTTTTGCTTCAAAAGTAAGCTTTTTCCGTATACATTTAGGTAAAGTATAACTGTTGCGAATGAATTAGGGTTAGGGTTGGAGATAGTCACCATATGTATACTCATAAGTATGATGGTAATTAGTTTATTGTTATTTCTAACTGGATTGTGATTAAATAAGAACAGAATACAATTTGTTCAAATTCTTTTACTTACCTTAATGGATTATTAATTTTTAGTGAATAAACGTTACATTATTGATACTTAATATTTAGTAATATATACAATGATTTCATCAAGTATCTTCTAATGAAGAATAGGAGTTCTCATGAAAAAAGGACATAAACTGGAAAATTATTGAATGCAGTAGTGTAATAATGTTGGAAAAAGTGAATCAGGTCAATTAGCAAACAACTAAAATGTTTTGTCCCGTGGTGAATTATGAATGGTAACTTTGAGCACTATTTATGGAGAAATATGATATGTATACTTCCTATCGTATAATTGCTAAGTAACTAACTATTCATATTCGTGTCCCTCTTATTGTAAGCTTTATTTTGACCTATGAACAATTATTATACGATTTACCATTCTTGAGTTATACCCAGTCTATTGATTACTGTTCCTCCTATTCACAGCCACATTTGACTGAATCTTGTACAAATGTTATTCTCTATTTTATGGTACGAAGTGGTCAGTTTGATTAGTATATAAACCCCGTATGTTTGTAAATAATGATTCATATTGCAGGGGCAGTTATTGGTATTTTGGACTTAACTGGCTGGGCTAGGTAGAAAGCAGGACTGATAAGTACTCAAGACTGTCCATACGGCTTTTGTGTATCATTGCTCCGATCAATAATTCTCTCTTCTCTCATTTGCGGGAATAATCGCATTCATATATCAAACATACGCACTCACACGTTATAATACAAACATTAAAATTGATCTAATTTATCAAGTAATCAGAAAAACCATGGACAAATATAGGACCAAGAATCAAATCATTGGAAGATACAGTCTAAATAAAGAAGTAAACAATGTGAGTTAAAGGTCAACAATAATCAATCAAGATCTCGGTCTACAGGAGAAGCTGTTAGTCATATGTGGAGAAATTCGAACACTTCACGTGTAACTGAAGTTAGTGCTGATGATGTCGTTCAGAATAACAATGGAAGCTTCACGATTAAACCATCCAGTTCAGAGAATAAAACTCCATCAAAATCATCCACCTGAGCTACAAATCTTCTCCACCTTCATTAAATCTTACTGTTCATTATTTTGTTCTATGTGTTTAACATGATAAAGACACATTAACGTAGGATTTTAGATAATGATGAAATGACTGCAGACTTATTTTCAAGGACTTAATCATTAGATGATGTTGAATTGTGTTGATTGTTGATATAGTATTAATCTTTATTATTATGATTAAATACAATAAGGTTTATCTGTTAAAATTCAGTTTACTACTTGGCTGATTGTTTAAGTAGTCAACTGTCAATTGCTTGATTAAATATTGGAAAATTAATTTGATTTACAGTTTTACAGCAATCTACTTACTGCGAAAGTATAGGTCAACAGATCTAAACTTGAGAGATAATGAGTATGTAGACTAAAGTCGTAATGCATAAGGTAGAGGAATTCACCCATATGGCTCCATAATACTCGGTCTCTGAAATCATGATAAGGTAACAAAAACTCTCTCAGCCTCGACCACATAGCTTCAATATTGTTTGTGTGTACTCCGGTTGTGTAAGTTCGTCATTTTTATTACGTATATATCCCTACAACACTCATATCTCTGGACAGTCGAAACTTTAGTAAAATTTGAGAATATTGCAGCCAATAATACTGGTGCTTTTATTAAACAGTTCACAGAAATTATTATAACTTTCCTTAGTCTGAATCTGGGTAGAGAGAAAAAAAAGTTCCTATTGTAGCAGACGTCTTCGTCCAACATACATTACATCGAAGAACAATATCACGGTAGTCTGCACAAGGTGTACAAGTCATTTGTTTACCGCAATTACATATGAAGGAAGTTCTTAGTAGTCCCATTTATTGTATCTGCTTAATTGTCACGTCTTCTCTAAAATCTTCTGTGAACCGACCGTACATAAGCATCAGGTACTGAAGTTGTCTCTATGACCTTGAAGTCCCCCAAACGCTTTTGATTGGCTCGTTCATAAATTTTAGTCTCGCTTCTTAACCTAAATATCTTGTATATCATACATTACAAGTTTGAGCGTAGAGATCATCATTGATATATGTGTTGTGTTTTTCATCAACTTTTGTTAACAGATGATCTCTTTCCTTCTCTCGTTTTTTAATGTTATAATGAAATTCTCATTTAAGTAGTGCATGAAATCTTATAATTTTATCATTCATATTTTTTATGGTGTGACTATAATTTATGGACGACCTTTTAGTGACACTAAAATTACGTTAGAATGTTCATCTACCTACTAGCATTAAATGAGAGTTATATATTAGTGTGAGGAATTAGAATTAACATTTGCAGTTGAATATTAGAGTTAGGAATTCAACTCAATATTTTCATCATCAAAAATTGACATAAACTAAAATGCCAAGATACTATATAACCAAATGAATGAATTAATGTCGAGCCAAAATCCAATATCTGTTATCTTAAATCTGATTGGTTAGTCTATGGGTAGTTT